TTTAAAAGGTATCACAAGTGTTTCAAATGATATAGTTCATAATACATGAATATGTGTCTAGCTTCTGTATAACAAAGCATTTATATTACTATAGGCAAAGGACTCCAGGTGAAAGAACAGGAGTGGAGGCAAGGCTGGTGATAGGCACAGGAAGCCAGTACAGATTACTACTGTAATCAATCAAAATACTTATTCTACTATAATCCTAAGGGTGCAGTAGTGGCACACATAGCTATTTGGTAGTCAACAGATCTCTAGTTTGATGTAAGACCACTCAACAAGAGAGAGATCACCCCTGGTCCTGGAAACCCAGCCCACTACCCAGGGATAGTAAAGTCATGGATCTCGAAGGAAGACTTACAACTGCCATTTGAATAAACCAGCATAATTTCTAACTACATTCTAAAGCACAGGTAAGTATAGTCCTCACCCCTCATCAAAAAAACTTCATCTTGCAATAGACAGTACAAGTTATTAAAATGGAGAGTTCTAGCGCTCAGTCCACATCAAAACTGCACCTAAGGATTAAGGAGCATTGCAGAAGAGGGGACAAGAAGATTCTAAGAGCCAGAGGAGTAGGACGTTTATTGTGAGATTGTATCTCCTAGAAATGTCAGGGAAGCTATGCATGATGGAAATAAGAACAAAACCAATAGACATGCTAACATGGATAGAAGAGATCTTGAGAGGCCCCAACCCAAGGCAAAAACTACGAGCATCCAAAGCCCAAGTCTTAGACTGGGAGAAACAGTCTTCCCCAGGGAAGAACACACCAATCCGTTATCTAACATCAAATGATGATCAGTCCTGGAAACATACACATACGAGTAATATATAAAATGAGGAGGTTATATTTATATACTTGGAGTGTGTGTGTGTGTGTGTGTTGTGAAATAGCAAAAAGAGGCAGTCTAGCAGTGGTGGTGGTCCTTCCTTTTTAAAAAAAAAAAAAAAATCCAGCACTCAGGAGGCAGAGGTAAGCAGATGTCTGTGAGTTCAAGGCCAGCCTGGTCTACAGAGGGAGTTCTAGGACAGCCAAAGCTACACAAAGAAACTTTCTCCAAAACAAAACAAAAAAACAAAAACAAAAATACATGAATTTGAATGAGACCAAGGTGGGAGGGGTCGGAGAAAGGAAGGGAAAGGGGAGAAATGTATCTTATAGTATTATATGACAAGCTGGAAAATGTTTATATTATTAAAAAATATGTACTAGTAAATTCCCCCTGAGAATGTATGTGTGCTGTGCTTTTCTTAAGAAGTGTTGAAACCATTTAGACACGAAGGTGGTCATGTGCATTCCCTGTGCTCACAGTAGCTATTAGAAGAGAGATCCCAGTGACCATCAAACCCTACAGCATTGCCCTCATCTCTTCAATGATTACTGTTGCCGTCCAGACAGAATGGTTACAGAATGGTGTCTGCCCATTTTGAGGCAGCATATTGAGACATTTGATGATTGTATAGATTTTGATTTTGAAGTAAATGAGAACCATGGAAGATTATAAAAGAGATAGACATCCTTTGTAATTCAATTATGTGAGGCAAACTACCTCACCTCTCCTCCTCCTCCTCCTCCTCCTCCTCCTCCTCCTCCTCCTCCTCCTCCCACTGTTGGTACCAGATATAGTAAAACTGTTGTTGCTGCTTCATTGTTTTGTTTTTATTGTTTCATTGTTTTTTGCTGTTTCATTGTTGTTTGTTGTTTTTTACTTAAAGATGACCTTAAAAGTGTGCCCTGCCCTGGCATTACAGATAACAGCTCATCCTACTATTCTTCATAAAGCCATGGTACTTTAATACCTCATTTCCTTTAGCAAGCCACTGTTGATCTCTGACCTTTTAGGACAAGCTTGCCCTTGAGGAAACAGCCTTCTAGCTGCCCAGTGCTCCTCTCCCCAGGATGTTTCTCAGGGGGAACTTGCCATTGGCTCATTGCCTATAATATGCTAATGAAGTACAGGGAAAGTTCCCTGCTCTGGCTCCTAGGGAGGGAGGGCCTCCCCTGCCTCTATCAGGATCCTTCTGTGGCCATTCACCAGCACACTCAGCAGAGCCAGAAGACCCCATGGGTGCAGGTTGTCTGAAAATGGACTGGAGGGTACTCACCACAGTCTGGACGCTATTCTTCTTAGAGCACCTCACTCCAGGAATCAGCTCAACCAACTGTGAGTTTGAGTTCTATCATAATCTTAGCAGTGTACCCCCAACCCCATGCTGTACCACCTACAATTTACTACATTTTATCCAGACACTAACGTTTGATGTTCTACGTGTGTTGGGATCCTGAGGTTGGCTGGTGCTGGGGAATGGTACTGTAAAAGATGCAGAGCATCCAAAAATAGGCAGTGGGAGACATCTACAGGCTATCTCTAAGAACAGAGCAAAAATCAGTACTGGCAATTTTGCTGCCTACAAAAGGACACAACAGCCTGTACATTACTTATGAGTAAGAAGTGGAGTGATGCCGGACCACTCTTTGCTACCGTCACAGCAAGTTTGGTTTGAAAGCAAATGTTAGCCAAGGGATAATACTAGTCAGAATCTGGGCTTCATCCCTGGGATTCAAAGCTGACTGCTCCTACAATCATCCTTCTGGAGTTATCTTCCCTGTATCTTTTGTTGGGCACTTATCATAACTGCAAATGTGTTATTGCCCAGGTCCGAAGTGGGTGTTAAATGCCAACCACAGCATCCTAGCATAGAAGGACTGTGTCTTGGGAAGCACTTGTGCCTTTGAAACAGCAGGTGTTCTGCATTCATTATACTGTGAATTGTATAAATAAATGTTTGCCATTTTGCTTAGACTATTGAATTCTTCAGGAGATGCTATTTGCACTCAAATATTCATCTATCCTTTGCATTGTATACAGTTCAAATACTTTAACCCTTTTGTACTGTAAGAAGGACCCCCAAAGTTATTATCTAATTCAAAAGTAGTGTATTGACTCTGAGCCCAGAATCTCTGGTTTTCAAGAATGCTTTAAAAGATACGGCTCTTGTTCCAAGCTTAGAAAAGACCAATGGGAATTGGGTGGCTGTTTTCATTTTGTGTCTTCCAGAAGATTCTCTTGGGACTCATTCCAGCAGGGTTTCTGTCCTTACATTCTAATTGCATGCAAAGAAATGAAGCCATTCCTTGTTTTCCTCATTTCTTTCCTGAACAAGAGCATCTAGGACCCTACCAGGCCTTTGCTGACTCCTCAGTGAAAAGCTGAGGTATGGGCTTTTCAAGGGATTGTTTTTAGAAGCCACTGCATTAATCACATTCAGAGTGTTTGTACCTGAAGTAGTCTTTAGGGTGTCACCTGGTCTTCTAGCTAGTTTAATCTCAGCTTGGTCTCGACATGGGTGGGACATACCTCTGGCCTGTACTATGGGTTTTCCTCTGTGCTCTGCTCCATACAACACTAGAAAGTGCTCAGCAGATCCCTGGCCATCGGGAATCAGGCCGACAGTGTGGAAAACCAGTAACTCCACTCTTTAGCCAGATATGGGCACTTTAAGAACACAGCCACTGCATGATGGTAAACAGAGAGAGAGTGGAGGGGGGGAAGAGATAAGGGGGGGAGGCACCAAGCGCAGGCTTCCAGGTGGCTCTGTAGCAATGGCCATTTCCTGCTCACTGTAGTTGAGTCACAGTATCATTGTCTAATGATGGGGCAGCTAATTCTTCATTTCACCTCAAATCAGACTGGCTGTGTATTCATATTCTTCACTCTTGTCACTACTGGAGCCTTTGGTTAGCAATGAGGATACCACAGTCTTCCAATTTGTCATCTTCATTACATTTGGTCTTCCAGAGTGTTTGCACCTGAAGTAGTCTTTAGGGTGTCACCGGGTCTTCTCTAGCTGGTCTTCCAAAAGGGCAAAGGTGGCCAGCAGTTTCTGATGCTGGATGTGGCTGTCTGCCGGGCCAGCGTCGGGGGGGGGGCTAGTGGGAGGTGTCTTTACTCTGGGACTCACTTTAGTCTTGAGGTGTTAGATCTGGCACAAAGCATCTTCCTTCAGCGTGGGGTGTTGGAGAAAGAAAACTTTGTTTGCTTATAAACAAGTTGCAAATTGAATCCTACTCATTTCTTGGAAACAGAAATCCACTTTGAGTTACTTACTAAACTGCAGAGTACACAACAAACACAGAAGGGAGAAAATAAAAGGAAATAACACAAACAGGGGGGGGGGGCAGGGGGAAGGAAGGAGAGAGGAAGGATTAAAGACCACCACCAGCTCTTCTTGAAAGATAAGACACCAGCGTCAACAGACAGGCCTGCTTACTTAGCCTTGAATTGAAACAGCTCACAGCAAACACAGGATACAGGTAGATTTGCCAACCCAACAGGCCCTTCCCCCTACCCCATGGCTTCTTCCCTTTCTCATTTGAAAAGGAGCCTTGTACAGGAAAAGCATCCCCACCCTGCTGATTAATTCTTTCCTTTTGAAGTCAGTACAAACTCACAGACAGTTCTAGAAGGAAAGACTTCCTAATATCCTGAGTCAGACAAAATAAGACTAAGCTTTGTAGACTCTGTTTGGTGGTTGAGAAGTTTCTGTAAATTAGAATTAGGAGAACGACCCAACACTTTCATAAACAAGAAGAGGTCTGTTTATAACCACGGTGGATCTGGTCCCTGCTTCTGAATGGCAAAGTAGAAAACTAGATGACAGATGTCCAGAACAATTGATCCTTTGGGTCCCCAAGAGAAAGGGTACCATGAGAGAGAACACAGAGGAGCCCAGGATGCTCCCCACTGAGTCTGCATAACAGAGATGCTTCTGGATGGTATACTGCCCCCTGGGGTGCCTGGGCTTATTGTCTGTGACTTTTGCTACCAGATTTCCCTCACTTCTTCTGCAGTAGCTTGAGAACAGTCCTTGGTCTGTTCCATGCAGTCAGACAAACTCCCCACCTACATAAGCATGTCTCCTAAGGAGAGAGTGGAGACATAAAAGTTTTCTGATTATCAAAGTATTGCTGCAGTATATCTCTTTCTCCATGTATGATGTGTACCCCATGTGAGATCTCACTACAGAGATTAGAAGCCTCAAGTGCCTCGGTCACCCTGTGTCTTCCAGTGAATGTGACAGGAAGCTGGTGTACTTACTGTTGTAACCAGGACCAGCTAGTGCAGCCCATGACTGAGGCAAAGGCCAAGGACATTTCTGAGGACCAGAAAAGGTGAGCTGGCTTGGGTGGGGATGATGTACTGAACTGAAAACTCTGCCTTCAAATGTTTCTTTCAAAAGAAGTTGGGTTTGGTTTAGATTTACTTATTTTATGTATATAAATGTCTTCCCTGCATGCATATATGTGTATGTGTGGTGCCTGCGGAGGTCAGAAGAAGGCATCATGTCCTCTGGAATTGGAGTTACAGATGAATCTGAGCCACCCTGTATGAGTGTTGAGAAATGATTTTTGTCCTCTGAAAGGGCAACAAGTGCGCCTAATTTCTGAGTCATTTCTTCAGCCTCTCACAGGGAATGGCTTGGATGTGAACTACCCCAGCCAATGTTGCATCTGGTGGCATTATTTGGGGAGCTTTTGGAAACTAGGAGATGGGACCTAGCTGGAAGGAACAGGTCACTGGGAACACATTCTTGAGGCTACTGTATCTCATCCTTATGAATAGTGTTTGTTAGATATTTTGTCACAGTGACAAAAAAAAAAAAAAGGCGAGTAAGACAACTCTTACTATCCATTCTTACATCAGTGGAAGAAAAGCAGGGTGATTTTGAAGGAGTTCCCTGAATTAAATACCTGTCGATACCAGAAGGATTTTAAGCTGACTATTGTCTTTATACTAGGTCAAGGTATGCCTCTGATGTGCCAAAGACTGGCCCAAAAGAGCTGAATGTAAATTTTAAAAAAGTCTGGAGTCTGACTGTCTTTCCCAACAGTGCTGCAGAAGGATCTGAGCTCTGCTGTGGCATCCTGGCTGCTCAAGTCCCAGGCTCTGTTACCCTGGAGGAGGTTCTGAGCTTGCTAAGATGGAGAAGGAGAAAGACACAAGCTACTCTTGCTTTCTCAACTGTAGCAGTGGCTGCTGCTGAGAATGCATTTATCACTAAGGCATTTGAGAGCTCTCCAAGGGCCTCCTTCATCCCTGAGCAATGCCCATCACCCTTCCTACCAACCCACCAAGAGATGTCTGCTGTTGGCAGAGGACAGACGCTGCCTGTCAAGAGTGCAGCGTATCCTCTTATTTCCAGTCACTCCTCACTCTCTTCTCATGTAGCATACTAGTGTTATTCCAAGGACCTGTGCTACCTTAAACTGACTGCTGGTAGCAAGATGTGGCACAACATCTCCCATAAACCTTTTCCAAGGTCTGAACCAATCAATCTGGTCTGGCCTTAGGACACAGGTGTTCACTGGCATGGCATGTGGGGTGGCTACAGTGTAGACTTTGCAGTTGGCTGGGACTCTGCTGCTCTTCTGAGTCAGACTGAACATGTCCCAAATTCCAGTATGGGACCCAGGCAGGACACTTCTCATCCCCAGTGTTCTTATCCCCAAATCTGAGTACCCTTGCTGTCCTGTCTGTCTACCCCATCGAGTCACTGCAGACAAGATGTGAAGGAGCATCCAGAAGAATGGTTTGCCTGCCTTTTAACTCACTGTCTGCTTCTATATCCTGGCCACACTTTCACCAAGGACACCAAGAGGCAAGAACAATGGGGATTTCCTTGTCGCTACTTGGAAATGCCTTTGTTTATCGTCACTGCTGCCAAAAAATTGTTCATTTTTGCTGCATATTTTTCCCACAGCTCTTTAAAATTACCTGTCTTTTTCTTCCAAAGTCCTCCTCCACTGACTTGCTTGTAATCAGGAACTCCAAGAAATTAGTCCCTTGCTGTGGGTAGCAAGTAGGCTGTCCCTCAGCTTGGACTGTGGTGTCTTCACAATGGACAGAAGTTAGGAGCCCGTTTGCACAGTCCTCTGCCCTTCAGCATGCTGCAGACCTTTGAGTCTACAGTGTGGTTTGCTGGTTCCAAGGCTGTCTTCTTGTTCATGTTTCCATTTTTTTTGACCTCAGAAAGGTGAATGTAGGTAAGAGTGGACATCATTACCCTTGGAATTACTCAGTAGTTTAGCTGAGGCCATCCTAACCTGCTGTCTCTCTTCGTCTTTACCATATAGTCTGGCTAACCTCTTCTGGGTTCTCCTGCCTCTCTTTGCCTATGTAATGTCCTCGCCTGCCCCCTGGTGGTGGCTACTTGGTTATTGCTTCAAGAACCAAGCTTACGAAAATTGGACAGAACTACCCAGGTTTTTTTGTTTGTTTGTTTTTTGTTTTGTCTTCATATAGAAATTAAAATACATGTGTTGTGCGTCTTCTACATTCCATAGACACCCAATAAAGTAAAAAACCCTATAGATTTAAATGGGTAAAAAAAATCCTACAGAGTTGAACACAGTTTTTACAGAAGTAGAATCCAGCATCAAAGGATCATGCTAAAAGTCTAAACTGTAATAAGACAGCACAGGCAGCCCTTTCTGGAATGGCAATCCCAGCACTAGTCTTGTGGTACAGGCTCCTTTCTTCTTCATTGAATTAGAGGAAGGATGAGAAGGAAGAAAAATGGAAGGAAAAGGAAGATGGGGAGGGAAAGTGGGATGAGGATGAGGTGGTAGAGGATGAGGAGTGGGAGGATGACGGGGAGGAGGAGACAGGGAGGAGAGGGAGAGGGAAGGAAACAGGCAAGAGGTGCTGCTGTTTACGAAGAGGCACCACATTTCACAGGGCTGGGAGACAAACAACGATTTCCATTGCTCCACTGCAGCCCTGTTCTGTGGCTAGAAATGCTGCCAATGGTGCCAGCATTTCCAAGTAACCAGTGTGGACATGAAATCCAAATAACACCATCAACTGTCAGTGTCAAACCCAGAACCCACAATCTAGTTCCATGTCAATTTATCAACTGCTGTTGATTGTTTTGGTCAGGTATTGAGGAGTCGTGGTCTGAAGGGTAAGGTCCAAGGCCTCTGGAGAAGCCACTAGGCAGTATGCCGGGAGGTCTTTGAAGTACAGGCAGATGCAGCTTTTGCTACCTCCAGAACCAGTATGAATGCTGGTTCAGTGTGAATGCTGGCTATTTCACTTGCCAATGGTGCCAGCATTTCCAAGTCAATGTATCTCCCTCCACTTCCAGGATCTCACTGTATAAAGTGACTATACCTGACCCCCGGGTTTGCCTTTAGTTACTGTAACCAAAGGCCTGAGACAAACATCCAATAGCGGCCAAAGATATGTGTGAACTCACGGCTTGGATCCATTCAGCCCATATGAGTTGGCCTTGCTGATTTAGACCTACAGAGAAGCAACACCTGAGGGCCACAAGGGTGTGATAGAGCAGAACCATCACTCATGGCCTAGAAGTGGAGAAAGAGGTCCACAGGTCCCACAATCCTCCCAGGAGGTCAGATCTCCCTTGCTACACCTCTTAAAAGTCCTACAACCTCCCAATAACACCCCTCTGGGGACCAAGCTCTTCATATACAGGCCTCTGGGGAACCACAGCATGATCTGAGCTTCTGTAGAGACTAAACTGGAGGATAACAATAGTGTAAGGTTCACTCGGGTAACTAAATCCCAGTCTCAGGGACTGGAGAACAACCAGAGAGGCAGGACATGAGATGCAGAGGAGGAGTCTCAAAGCCCAGGACTGAGCTTGAGTGCCAGCTCCTTCCATCAGAGCAGGAAGCCAGACCCAGACTTCTGCATCAGCCTGATGGGAGTTGAATTTAGTTAACTAGAAACAGCCTCCAAACTTGAAACCAAAGTGCAAAAGCCACAGTAGTAACTCCTTGCCTGTGTGACAGTCACTTGGTGTCTGATGAAACTGAGACAGAAATATGGACGTGGATGAGAAATAGCATGGGGTAGCTGTGCACAATGCAGCACTAACTCCTCTATTTATTCCCATGCATAGGTGTCTCCAGCTCGTTTGCTCTGTTTCCTCAAGTGGCGATACCCGAACTGGGGCAGGGGAGGAGTGTCTTCGATTTTGTAGCTGCAGCCTCAGAGCCTTCTGCAGTAGAGTGCTGGCTGGTAAGGCATAAAGAAGCAGGCAAAGCCGCCACAGCCATGTCACAGGCACCCATGTGTTGACAATGTTCTATTTCACACACCATGTGCCCGGCATCCTGGCAGGTGGGAGACAGCCTTGTGGTTTGCAGCTGGTGTTGGATCCTAGCTTCTCTGCTCACCCCACTATCAAATGCAGGTTGAAGGCGTAGAAACAGGTTTCATGTCCATCCTCAAAGGGTCCCTGCTGGGTCCACAGATAAAATGGTGTATGATGGATGAATAGAGGGGAAGCATACAGAGCCAATGCAAGTTTTATGTGGCTCAGAAGCCCACAGAGGAAAATGAAGACAAAGAGTAGTCCTGAGTTAGGCGGATCATGATAAGCTAGGAGAGAATGTGATAGGGCCAGGCCCGGGCTCTAGCAGTTTATTAGGCAGAGAAGCAACTGAGAAGATAGGTGCTAGTTTAACAGTGACTTCCTCAGCCTTCAACTTCCTGTCCTTGGTAAGAATGTCCCACTGCTCTTAAAGACTACTCACATGGGAATTCCATCCAAAGCAGAATCAAGTCACAGAGAGCTTGTCCTTGAAACGGTCCTATGCCAGGATTGTATACTTTTAATCCCTTCCCTGGGCCTTACTCCATATGTTCTGCCTCAAGAAAGTTTGGGGACCACACCTGAAGAGGCCCTGAGTCTGCAGTGAAATCACAAGAGATCAGTGACTGACTGACTGACTGACTGACTGGGTGCTGTGGTTCTGAGACCTGGGCTCCCTGGCCCCAGGACTCCTTCAGCACGGAAACTTGTCCCACTGTGCCTATTGTTGTTTAGGTACTTCAGATGGAACCCAGAGTTTCACACATGCCAGGCAGGAACTGTGCCACTGAGCCATACCCACAACTGTCAACATTATAGCATATTATTTATAGCATTATTGTTGCTGTTGTTTTTTGAGGCAGGATCTTGCCTCTTGGCTGTGTAGCACAAATTGGTCTCAAATTTGTGATCTTTCTGCCTCTGCCCCCTAAGTGCTAGGGTTGCAGGCATGTGTCACCACCCTAAATATTTATGTGTATTGTTGCTGAAGACTGAACCCAGGGCCAGGGCTTGTATATGCTGGACAAGCACTTTACCACTGAGTTCCCTCCCAGCTGGGCTGCCTAAAACTTAGTTACCAATATCTGTTAAGGAAAGGCATGAGCACCTGGGCCTGTACAACTCACTGATGGGAAGAGCTGGCATGTCACGGGCATTTTCTCTGAAAATATAAAACTCACTGCTTTTAAAGTTCTTCATGTCAGTGAATGGTATGGCCCCGACTGAGAACAGGCCAGTTCTTTACCTGTTTGGAGCATAGGAACTTGGTGACCGATGAGAGAAATAAGGCGTTTTGCTATTCTGGCTCAGTCCAGTTTTTGTAAATATTTTCCTGGAGAATGTGAGCAGTGCACGAAGCTGTCTCATACCTGAGTGGTCCGCATGGTTGATCGATGTGGCTCAGTCCACACAGAAGCAACAGAATGCTTGGTGGCATGACCTCAGGCTATTTCCCTTCAGATTGTGTTAATACATCAGACTCTTGATTGTGAACAGAAGCATCAACCAAGATGTTTAAATTAGATTTGACATTGCCCTAGAAAGTTGAACACTTGGGGACACTGACTGACTGTGTCCTTGCCCAGAGGAGCTATGATGACCACAGAATTTGCAGCTGGGTTCCTGTCAGAATGGCCTCATCCCCTTCTGAATTGTCTTTAAACCCTACTACTCTGCTGTTCAGCTCTCTAGCCACAGCTTCTTGCCTATGAAACAAAGCTGGGCCAAATCAGAGCTCCAGTAAAAGGCACTTTAAGTAGAGTCATCATCTTCAGCCAGAACATTGCTGTGTTCCTGTCCAGCATCATCCCACCAGTGAGGCCAGGGCTGTGCATTCCTTCCTTCACACCCCCAGTGGGTTCACACCCAAGTCCTCTCAGACCACAAAAACAGAGACACAACTCACAGGACACAGCATCAGATTTAGCACATCCTGAGGACTAGGATTCTTCATAAGAGCCCCTTAAGGGGACTTAGACTCATGCTTGTCTGTCTCTGCTTTCATCTTCTGGCAAATGGGCAACCTCAGAATGGATTTTTCTCCTTTCTAGAGATCCAGGCTAACCCAGAGCTCTGTGTGAGTGATGAACAGGACAGCTGTCCTTCATATGCTCCAAAAGGGACAGCACAAGATCCAGAGTCACAGAAGCCATCTTCACCAGCTCCCTCGGACAAGGTGCACCTTACACTGAGCCATTTAGACCTTTCCTCCTGAGAACAATGGGGGGGGCATTGGTGGACTTGTTACAGCTCCAAATGCCCCTGAATTGAGTTTCTCAGGTACCAATCACAGCATGTGTGCTTGAGCAGAGGAAGTACAAATTTAAGTTTTAAAGCCTTCATTCTGTCACGAGAAAGAAGGCAGAGGAACCTATGCCTTGCCTCAGGCAAATGGTATGGGAGACCTACCCTCTCATACCTCAGGGGCAGAGTCTGTCAGTCTGTCTTCCTCACTGCCCTCCCGAGAGAGAAGGACAGTGCCTGGCACACAGGGATGGAGACTGCTGTTGTTTAATGAGTAATGCTCCTTTCCCTGAGTCCTCTCACACTCTTACTTTTTTTTCCTTCTAGAATGTCCTGAACAGAAGTAGTGAAGGAAGGCTAAGCTTTATTAACGGAAAATCACAAGCTCCTCCAGGTTGGGATGAAGGTACTAACAGGTAGGTCCTGGAAGCCCAGGTAGTCCAGCATGTCAGACTATACAGATGGCATGGAGTTATGGGGAATGTCTCAGATGCCAAGACCAGGGTCAGTTCTGCCAGTCCAAAGTAGATTTGAACCTCTCAGCACTGAAGGGAAAGAATGCATTTTTTTTCTTAGACCAGGTTATATAGTAAACTTAACCCTGAATGTTGGGAGCCACACAAGGTGGTGCCAGGTAAGTATCTTCAGGTCACTACTGTGAACTCTAGTCAGGAGCATGCTATTCCAGAAACACAGATGGGCAAACACATCGCGCCTTCCCACAATACTAAAACTCCCTGAGCTATAATAAACCCATGAGCTAAGTTGGTTTTGGCCGCATTCTGCTAAGTAGTCCTGATTTGCTTGGAAGCTGGCTGAGGCAAACACAGGTTCTTTTACTCCAGTCTCAATAGCTAATATTTAATCTCATGTGTTGCGCATCGCACAGTAATTATATCTCTACACGTGTAGGTCATAGAATGGCTATAAAGGGTTAAAAGGGCTGCAGTGGGGTTCACGGATTTCAGGGAGGCCTTCCTGGTGATAGGCAGAAAGCTGTAGGGGATGCAGAACCGCTGCAGGGGTCAGGTCACGGTGTCAGGTGGAGACTGGAGACACTACGTCCTAGCACAGCTGCATGGTTGCAGGGCCATGGAGGCCATGGGCAAGGTGGGCAAGGCTTGGAATGAGATCCAGAGAGATGGAAGCTTGCCTCAGCTGTGGTGGAGACCAAGATGAGCTAAAGCCCCACAGACAGCCAGGAGCTTTCTGCCTGTTGGTCCTGTGATGCTCACAGTGTGTATTCAGATAGCAGGTTACTAGCAGGGAGGGTGTCTCCATTGCAGTGTAAGGTTCCTCTTCCTGCTGGGGTCCAGGGAAGAATGTGGCAACCGTGCTGAGTCTGGTGTGTTTTGTAAGTTCAAAGCTGGCTTGCTTGCTTCCTTCCTTTTTTTTAAAATTCGTTTCTTCTTTCATTTCTTTATCTTTTCATTATGCCTCCCTTTTTATATAAATTGTGCATATCTCACAGAGGTCAATTCCTTATTATTATTACTATTATATAGTAGCAATGGTAGTGCATGCATGTGCATAAGTGCACGCACACACACATTATGTCTATATAAGTGTGGATGCTTGAAAGCCTTGGTGGAGGTGTGGAAATCAACTTTCAGAAGTGGGTTCTTTCCTTTCACTATATTGATGCTGCTTCTATCCACTTCTCTATATCCAGGCTAGCAGGCCTGCGGGTTCCTTATGAGTCTTCCATCTCCACCTTGCATCCTTGCTCTAGAAGCTCTGGCATTACAAAGAGAGGCGACTGTTTCTGGATTGTCCTAGGTTCTAGGGTTTGAACTCAAGTCATCTAGCACCCATGGCCATCCTTTTTACATGCTGAGCTTTGTAGCCACCTTGTGGACCTTTTCGTGATATGGTTGGGATTCACTCATGTGCTCATAGCTGTCCAGCTGCTTTGATAAATCTCTCCATGATACTTTGTTACATTTAGGAACAGGCCATGTATCAGTCTGTGCCTCAGGATGGCACCAGAGAAGTAAGTGGTGGTGTCTGCATGCATAGTCATTCTGTGTCTGCATTTGCACTCAAAAGGAAGCCAAATGCTGCTTGTAAGATGGAGTCTCTCTGGGTTAACGCTGCCTGAAAGCTCCTGCTGTACATACTGTGTTGTAGCTTAGAACAAGTCCCGGTGTGATTGGTATGGGATTGATTGTGTCCTCAGTGGGGTATATGAGTGCAGCTCCTGGAGTTGGAAACAAGACTGTTAATGGGACCTTGAGGACATGGTGCTTTGTGAAATGAGCCAATTGAAAAAGGCAAACATGTTTGTTCTGTTCTTACTATCAGAATCTCAGCCATGGATGCAAAAAGAGACAAGGGATGCCCAAGGGATGGAGTGGCAGTGGGGAGAATCTGGAGGTTGTTTCAGGGCTTTTAGAGTTCTATAGGAAGTAAAAATCGTGGATATTGATGGCATAGCACTGTGAATATACTTAGGATTGTTTAACTACTCATTAAACACATTAACCATGTATGGTTTATGGGTTTTGGCTTCCTTCCTTCCTTCCTTCCTTCCTTCCTTCCTTCCTTCCTTCCTTCCTTCCTTTCTTCCACAATCAAAAAACCAAAACATTACACAACCAAAAACTTGTAGTTTTGGGGGACAAAATACTGGAAGCATTGGACACCCACCCCCATGTTGCAGGTTTGTTAACTAAGTCTCTGGAAGGGTGAGTCCAATGCAGTGGACCTTCGTAGATTCCACTTGGCTAAAATGGGATTCCTGTTTCTGTAGGAAGTTGTCTGTCTATTCCTGGGAGTCTGACAGCTCAACACCTTTCAGTTTCTGTCATCTCTGTTACATGTTTTATTATCTCAGCATAAAATGCACTCTTGTGTTCTTTACTGGTGACACTGGCACCTGACTCTCCAAGCCTATGCCAATAACCATGTTCTTTCCAGCTTTGACAGAAAAACCCTCTCCAATGTGAGACTCAAGCACTGAAGAATTTCACACCTTATTTTAAATAATTTAGAAGTTGGCAAAGATAAAACTGTTCAATGAAAAGGAAATATTCCCTGGAATTAGCACACCCCACGGGCCACTGGGGAAGTGTCATTCTTTTCTCTACTGTGTATGGATGTGGTGCATGAGCAAAATGGGGCTGTCCCTGAAGTCATGGGTTCTGTTTTCTCCTCCTGCCCCAGCATGCAGTCTGTCTGTTCCCCATAGTAGTAGCTGAGTGAGCAAGGCTCTGGAGACTGTGTTTGGGCAAAAGGAAAAAAAAAAAGAAAAGATGGAAGCCCATCTTTTCTAGAAAGGAGATTCTCTTCGTGCTGTGTAGAGTGTGGCTAGGGGGCATTTGGGAATGTATCCTAGACCCTGGATTTTTGTTTTCAAAAGCATCCCTGTGTTAAGAGGTGACGTGCTAGAAGGGTGCAAATAGTCAGAAAATGGGACTCATTTTGAATGTCCAGAGTAACTTAGGATATCCTTGCCAAGGACAATAATGCAGGAGAACTTGCCATCAGAAGAGTCAATGGAGCTGGTTCCGCCAATGGAGGGAACAGTGTATGTTTCCTGTCCCAGGAGAGAGGCCAGGAATGTGGACACAGCAGCAAGCCGAGGACCATATCTGGATCCTGAAGTTAGCTACAAGTCTATTGTGGTCAGTGAGAGACACAGGACATTATGTGCTAGCCACTGTCTAGGGCTCAGAACCAGGACTTGTCTTATAGGCCTCTAGCTCCCAGTCTGTGCTACAAACTCATAGACATATGCCACAGAGCACACTGATGAACCAGCATGTGTGGGTGACCTGTACCAGGTACAAGTTTTAGCAAAAGACTTTAACTGTGCTCCTTTCTACTATAAAGGCGTTTCCCTGATGTCAGCCACAGCCCTGACGATTCAGTTTACAGCATATTCAGCCTGTGACGATCTACCTCCCAGAAAGAGGGTTGGGTCACAGGGAGGGTCTTTTAGATCAGCCTGAACACTTACCAGTCAGGTATGCCAAACCCATGACAGCGCCTCTCTGCCTTCTATTGTGATCAGGAGCAATACCAGCCCCAGCCCCTATCTCAGGTGGCTGTGTGAGATGGAAAGAGAAGATGGATCGTTTTCTGGTCTACAGCAGGTTGGTGTGACCCCTGGCCACTGAAGAACGTGCCACCGAGCTCACTGGTGACCCCTCCTTTGCTGCTCTAACTCTGCGAGATGCCAAATGCTCAGGCAGAGTTACAATACATCATTGCAATAAAAAAGAAAACAGACTTCACACTTGCATCCTACGGTAGTGTCATCCTTTAGCTGCCAGGAAGGCTAACAGTGAAGCAAATAATAGGTGGCCACTGATGTTCCTGATGTCACCTGTGTAGTTCTAGAGGTCCCCAGCCGGGTATTCTCTTTGCTAGAAACTGCCCTATTTCATTCTCAAGGCAGTGCCATTGACAAGTTGATTTGCAGGGTGTCTCCTCAGTGGCGACCCCCTGCAGCCTGAAGAAGGAAGTTCTCTGCTCTGATGGACAAGGACTACTGTGCTCTGAGGAGGACTTGGCCAAGATGTTGCTTCTGAGGTTAGTCGCCATGACATCCCCACCAGGATAATCACATCCCCACAGACCAGCAGGGAGGCACCTTTCAGGAGTCTGACTTTCTACTTCCCCATCATTTCCAGAAGGTAAAAGAAGGGTAATAAAGGCCACATCCATCTTTCCTTACTACCAACCACGTGGTGATTTGAGACTTCCTTGTTGGATTTCACTGGGAGTCTGCCAGATCACTGTACTCCTAATGATATGATTGGCTGCTCTTTGCCACTTACATCCTGTGTCACATGGTCCCTTTATCTTTAAGAGCAGTCAGGAATTCAGACCTCAGCCTGCCTGTTTCTGTGGCTTAGGGGATAAGCACAGCACAGGCAGAGGAGAGAGATGTGAGGACCCTCGCATGTCCACAAGAGCATTCTCCTGCTTTAACGGGCTCTGTTCTCTATTCAGATTGCTAGTTGCCTAAGTCCCCATCATCAGTGTCCCCCTGCAACAGTTTCCAGCAAGTCAGTGATGGAAGTCCTGTGTTCTCGGGAGCTGGAGACTCAGAAGTCAAGAGTCTTTCCAGCCTCTACCTCCCAGCACAAGGGGCTATGTGTGGGAAAGGGAAACTGATGGCTGTGGGTCAGGATAGCATTGTATAAAAACAGCAGGTGGTGATTCATAAAAAAAAACTGGCTTTTAGCTCACAGTTTCAGTGATAAGGGGGCAATGTATTTTATCTATAATTCTGTAACTAGATTAGTTCTGCTACAGTAGCCAACTTCAGCATCCAAAAGTGCTGATCCCAGTTTCTAGGAAGCCAGCCTCAGCCTCTAAAGTGATGTCCCTAGTTTCTAGGGGGGATGATTTCTGTCTTCAGGGGTTTGCTAGCTCTGCATTCAGTGTCTAAACCAGTGTTTTGCACTGCCTGTGTCACAAGTGGCCAGTGATCCTTATACTGCAGACTGGGAGCCCACTGAGAGCACCAGGGCCCTTCTTCAGGGTCCTCACCCCTGTTCCCTGAAAGCTACCCTAGATAGTCTGCTCACACGAACCCTTGCATCTTACCTGGTACCCTCTCTATTCCTAGACTCTATAGCCTGCCATGAAGTCTGATATCTGCTTCCTTTCCTTAGCTTCTCAGACCCTCCTCAGGGCGTTTCTCATGTCTGCAACCTCTCTGCATCCTGGTACCACCCTGAGAGTTCCAGTCCTCTCACTCAGCATCCTCCTGGGGCCATCTTGGTGACACAGCCTGAAAATGCTGGGCACTTTGCCATCTGCTGCTTCCCAGAAACAGATGCTCAGACACCTCCAGCTCTGGGAATTCGTGTTCACGTGACTTCTGGAACAGCTCTTTGTCTGCTGCTGGACTTTGGGGACAGTTGTGGAGCTAAGATGAGACTGTGTACAGTGACAGGTGCAACTACTATGACTGGCTACTACCAGTACAGGAAAGGTATGGTGCAGTGAGTCCTTCTCTGAAAGATTGGGAAGGAGTTGCCAATCCCAGGACACTGGCAATGTTCATATGCTGGGAGGAGGAAGCCACAGTCCACCCTCTGGAGCCTTGAGCCAGCCTGGTGGCTCCTGTATGACAGAAGCCCACATTTTGGACTGTGACCAAGTCTTTGTATATTTCAGTGATTTAATGTTTCCCTCAAGATTGTGGGACAGGAGAATGAGGCTGGGAGATGATTCCTGGGGTCACACAGTCAGTACAGGGCCTCCTTCGTACACATGGTGACATCCTAAATCACCAAACATTCCTTACATTCCTCCTTAAGAACCCACATGTGATGGGGCACCCTGTTTCTTTTGACCTGAAAATTTCAACACTTTATTTTTTATCAAAAGAATGACAGTGACCAATGTCTGTATAGACATCTTGGTATGAGTTGGATACTGCTAAAGCCTTGGAAATGGGTACAGGATGTGAGTGGAAAACTTAACTTTCCTGAATAATTTCCTGAATAATTTTTCTCTTTTAAAAACGATTTTTTTAAAAAACATGATTTACCACACAAAGCCTACACAGCCAACAAGAGGAGCAGGGAAATTCCTGTTCTCACTAGCTCACAGGCAATCATATCTGTCATTCCACACCACTGTGTGCGGATAGGCCAGCATCAGGGCTATCCACCTTTCTGTAGATGGAAGTGCACTATGCACAATCTCCAGCTCTCTGACCACTTAACTACACATCTCCATCTTAGAGCAACTACACAGTCCAGATGGAAAAGACTGCCCTGACCTTCATTGACTTTACAGGACAGGTCTGTTTAACTGAATTTTATTGGTGGATATTGAGATGGTTTCTGATATTACGAGTAACCTTGCAGTGAGTAATTGTGTTTACACACCAATTCACCACAAAGAGGGCGTTTGGCCTCAAATGCTATGTCCAGCAGTAATTTGCTAGTTATTGCCAACTTGCTCTAAATTAGTGCTGTCTGGTTGACGCTCTGTGAATGGTACAGCTGTCAGTCTGATAGATGGAAACAGTCTCTTTCTGAAGCTCTGTGTCTTATCTATATCCAAAATTAAAGTTACTTTTAAAACCCACATTTAGCCAAGAACACTTTTGGGGTTCTACATAACATAGGATTATATGAACACCTTTCGTTATTGAGGAAATTAGTCTTTTTATTATGAGGGTGATAGGCTGCAAGGATTCATTTCTTACTGTGTTTCAGTTTTCCTGTGAAAATGTTGTTTGTTTATTTTGTTATCTCTTTATGGAGGCATTAGAGACTGAACCTAGCTTCCTGCATGCTAGGCAGGTGAGCCTAAGCCCTAGTTTCTGAGAATTATATCCTAGTTAAAACTGTGCTCTTTACTCCAAATTCATAAAGCAACTCTTTCATGTCGCCTAGCATTTCCATGGTTGAATTTTGCACACTTAAGCAGGTAACATATTTGAATAGATATTCTGGTGTCAAGCCTGTTTCCTTTCATGAGTTCAGAATGTCCGCTCATGTGGTTCAAATGATCCTATTTTTTTTTCCCCAGAAGGATCTGGAACACCCCCCCCCCTCCTTTACATGCTGGGTTCCTGTTGCTCTCAGGACACCTTTGAGCTTTCTGTTCCCCTTTCCCTGCCCCAGGGTGTTTATGTGAGCCACAGCTGTTACACTTCCTCAGGCCTCACGCTGTGGCGAGCACTCCTGCTGCCTCAACTTTTCTGGGATTATTTTGGTCACATTACCTTGATGATTTTTCCACATGAATTTACGACCCATACTGACTAATATGAAGATATTCTACTGGCAATTCTATCTGAATAGTGTTTAACCTAAATATTAATTTATGTAGAAGCTTTATGCTCCAAGTCTCCCTTTTTATAGAATATACCCTGTTACTTTCTAAACCACCCCACATACCTTTGGAAACATTTAAAGCTTTCTCCATATAAGAGAGCTAACTCCTATGAGTTGTGCACGTGCGCGCACACACACACACACACACACACATGCACACGCGCGCACACACACACAATGTAAAAAAGTGTTTTTTTGTATTCATATGACACATTACACGGAACTTCGTTTTTTGTGCAGTCACAAATGTAGTCACTTATCTTCAGACTGGTTGCCATGGCCATGTAGAAAGGTGAGGAAGTTGCTCTTTGTTTTGTGGCCTCCAGTGTGAGCATTGACTCAGACTTCTGCATGCATTCTCTCGTGTTTTCTTAGCTGTGTAAACATGGTGTTTGCAAATGCAGATGTATCACCTCCCATCTCCAACGAGCACCTCACAATCCCGTCTCTTGTCTCATCGCAGTGGCCCACATTTCCAGAGTATTGTGCGCGACATTAGCAGATAACTGGGTGTCTTTGTCTTCAGAACTTCTTTTTTTCCCCCTCTAAACTTCATGCTAGAATTCTGATAGATTCAATTTACCGTGGTATAGACATTTTCATTTTTTACTAAGTACTGAAACAAATTAAAAACCAAGAGTTGTTGGGTTTGCCAGCTCCTTACAGCATCTATCTGTTGAGATGATTTTATCATTGTTATCACCTTAAGAACTCAACAGGTCACCAATTACATTACTCAGCACTGATATTCCCAAGTTCCTGGGGGAAGGGAAGCCATACGATTTTGTCTTATTATTTTTAAATATGTGGTTGAATTCAGTTTTCTAAATCCTACTCGTTACACTGGTGCTCATGAATGGGGCTGGACTCTCATCACAGGTTTTTGTGAATTAGCCTCGGATTCTCCCATCGTTGATACATGGAGAACTCTATAGTTCACTCATCCGGGAACTGCAAAACCAGCAGTAGGAACAGTTGTTGTCTTGATGAGTCTACACACCCACTCTCTCTCCTGTGCTTTAACTCTTGTTGCCTGGGACTAGCTTGTTGATACCTTTCTCCATTGGCACTTGCTATTTCTCATGTAGTCAAGTTCTTTAATGTTTTTAGAAAAAAAAATGCTCTTAATACAAGTCTTCAAGCTTAATTACAGAAACATAGGCCCCTCTGGTTCTTTAATTTTCATTGATATTTTAATTTAATTTTATTTTCACTCTTTTTCTTCTGAATCGGAATGGACTGATTTGCATTCCTTTAGTTAAGGAACCAGCGTGGATTTTTATATATTATATATATATATATATATATATATATATAT